AAAATAGAGAGTATGTTTTCGTAACTTGTTTTAATAGATAAATCTGATATAACTATTCTTGTTGTAGAGTAAAAGTGGCAAAGCTTTTCCTTTTTATGTCAAATTTTCATTGCAGCTATAAAAACGTGGAAAGATAAAATACAAACATTTCTGACACTTCAGTCGTTTCCATGAAAAAGTTTTACCACTTTAAACAATAACTTTTGGTATTTGTTAGTGTACAACATGATTCGCTTCAATTTTTTCGACTACTTAGTGTTAATAGTTGCTCCTAATCTCATCTCAGCCAGTTAGTTCTCTTAGATGCAATTATTACTTTAACAAACGTTTCCTACTTCTCAACTTTGTCTCTCTTCCTTAATTAAGAAAAAATCATAGGTTTTATTACTTGGCGACAAAATAAAATATAATTTAATGTATGCTGATACAAAAAATTATTGTAACAATAACTACACTAATCTCTGCTAATTAAAAAACGTTGATTTCTTTTTTCTTTATTCAGTAATGAGCAAAGAGCTTCTGTACAAAAATAAAATTATTTTTTGCTACCACAGATACATTAAGCCAATAATATCAGCAACGTTTTAATATTACACTGTCAATCATAATGCAAATATAGATTTGATGGCAAACAGGTAAGCCCCAATTCAGACGTCACAATTTGACAATATTGTGAATTTGCAACATTAATGAGCTAAGTTTATACAGTCTTCACCGAAAGCTAAATCGGAAACTAAAATTTTAGCTTTACGTGGAACATAACTAACATCAACCTTCCACTGCTGAGGTTAGTTATAGATGTGGCTAATCTGATGCTGTAAAAAGAAAAAGCTGAGAATAGAACTGCATAGCAAAACTAATTTTTTGAAAAAATTAGTATCGCTGTTATTTATTGTTTTACACAGAAAATTTTACATCAGTCTTTCATCTTTCTAGACGAGTAACCTTAATATACTACTATTGATAAGGTAAAACAAGTCACAAAACAGTTAACGATCGGTTGACTACAGCAAATCTTCATCCTGAAGTAAATTATTACATCATGCATAGCAGTCATAAACTTCTGCAGTGCTGGTCTACCTTCAAATCCAACTGTCGAGCGTATAGTCAAGAATTTACCTTGTTACTAAAACATTATATCGCCATAAGAAAATTTACAAGATATTTAGATTTGAGCAGATAGATTGTACAGTTGCCGGGTAAAAATTTCTGATGCTTTCACGAAAAAATAGCCCAAACACAGAGGGAAGTCAGTTAGCGCAGTGATTGACTACGGATCAGTAGTGCGCCGCGCAAATGACATTATCCTCCCTGCGAATCATCCCGTTACAGTTTTTTCGGAAGCATAATAACCTGTATGTAGAACAGATAATTTTGAAATGAAAGCAAAGGTTTTCTTTTACTTTACAAAATTTTTTTAAATGTAACAGAAATAGTTATAATTAAAACCTAAACATTAATCATTAATTTTTTTTGTAAGTTTTAGCATAAAAGGTTTTCATCGTTTTTCTTTTACACTAATAGCCAACACAGCGCTGTTAACTCGCTATATACCAGTTTGTTTATGAAGATAATGAGTCTTCTGAAGCAGTCGTTAGCAAGCTGATTAATTTGCACTTTACCTCTAATTACTTTTATTCCTATTTTTTTGTTTCTCTATTCTGATTGTTTTAAAGTTTTTCAAACGATTTATTTTGTTCCAAAAACTGTGCTTTTTTAGAAGCCAGTTACAAAATGGATGTTTCACAGCAACCTAAAAGAGGTCTTGGTGAAAAAAAAAGCTAGAGAAACTTTACTATTTTATCAGAAATACCTGTCTTTTTTACAAACTTGTGTATTTTTTTCCAGCCGAATAGCGAGTAGACGGAAATGAGTTCTTTAACCTACTGACAAATTGTATCCATTTATAGAGTTAACTAGTTTTGCATAGCACTTGCCACTGTTTCTTTGTAAGAGTATCAAATATTTTTTCTACTATATTATAAGTTAACAAGCTATTTGTTAATTATAGCAAAACCTATGTACTCGTTTTTTATTTATAAAGTAGAAGCAGAAAAACCAAAGAACCGTCAAGGTTATTTAATATTTCTTATTTTTTTACAGTGCTTTTTTTGTATTAAATCTTTGTCTTTCATTGGTTGTTGCACTTTTTACAGCAGTAAACTAATAAAGTTCAAACCAACACAGTGTGAACTTCCTCTCTTAGCTGTTTTCCGTTCCTTGGCGCAGTGTTTTCTAGTCAGTTTTTTCTGCATGTCCTAAAAACCAAATTTTTACAGCCATCTGATGTTTCTGTACCTTACGGGTACAAGAAACGTAGACAAATTTTTGCTGTTTTTTTAGCCTGCTAAATGCGCATTTTTTCAGGTCTTTTTAAGTTGGCAATGAGAGTGTGTATCAAGCCTGTAATTTAATTGTCCATTTTTTGGCCGTTCCAGAAACTGGTATGTGATTAAACAGTTATTTCTCACCAGCTCATAAGGTGTATTTTCTATTGATTACGCAAAGCTGAAAACGTTGAATGCTTCAAATGTTTTCCAAGCCGAACGCTTTGCTATCTTGTTTTGCTTTTTTCTTCTGCTACGTTGTATAGATGCGTTAAAAAAAGAAAATACTAAATGTACGGTAATGAGATAAATCCTAAACGAAAACTTGTTATTAAATCATACTAAATTATACTAAACAACGTTTCTCATTTTCTAGTCAAAAGAGTGCATCAGACTTATTTCAAGTTTTTCTAAATCGCAATTCTTTTGATTCCTTACGCCTTCCGGCAGCGAGTGATTAAACGTGCAACTCAAAATCAGCCAAATTTTTTGGACAATGGAAAACAGGCTACATCAATGACTGCTTAAAGTAGAAAAAAAAACGACCTTGCAAAGACAAAGAACCACATTTAATTTTAGGCTAACCAGTTCTAAAAAATTTTTATGGTGTAACTACCTTCTCAAAAATATTGTTCTTTAGGCAACATCTTTGTTCACTGATTTGATGATAGAATGCATCTGATCAATAGTGAACGGTTTAGTTAGCGCTTCAAGCTAAAGCCAAAATCCAAAGATAAAGTTTGCATATTCTGAGCCGTTATCATTGTTAACTTGTGAAGAAAAAATTGATTTTTCTGCTTTACATTTTCTGTTTCATTCTCGACATGCTAGCACAAGAAAATCGTCAACTAACAAATTCTGAACTGTTGCCATTAAAAATTCTTCAATTTGACAAGTAATTAGGAAAGCTGCGATTTCGAAGATCACAAGTTTATTAAAAAACTACTGAAAATCAGATGCATGGTCTTATATATATATATA